CCAGAACCTTGCAGATGCTAGATGCTAAATGATCAACCTTTTCTGATCGATTCCACAACGTTTCTTTCACAATGCAATCGCATGACCAGAACTGGTCTTTACCTTTAAAAAAAAGGGTGCAATATAAGATATTGCACCCTTCCCACAAAAATGAACCCTATCGACCGAAAAAGGGTGCAAAATAAAAGTTTGCATATTGCATGCATATTCATGATTACTTTACACGTGTTCACATAAAAATACATTTATCATGATTTGTTAAGCAAATTATGACAATGCACATCAAGGTTGTGATTTGTATTTTCCTTCGGCAATCATTAACCAATAGATTATTTTGTCTGATCATGTTACAACTACATTCACGTTTTAGCAATAGATATATTGATTATATGATTACTAACCAAGAAACAACATGCATGTTTAATATGTATTTGTGTACGAGCATATTTCATGAGTATTCCACGAGTATGGGTGCAGGATTGAACCCCTAAAGGTGCTGCTATTGCATCGGTTTGCACCCCTAATGGAGCAGGATTGAACCATTAAGGGTACTAACATGTCTCCTAAATGGTGCAATCTGGCACCCTCTCAAAGGGTGCAGGATTGAACCCATAAAGGTGCTGCTAGTGTTACATCGGTTTGCACCCCAAAGGTGCAGGATTGAACCATAAAGGGTACTAACATGCCCCCTAAAAGGGTCAATCTGGCACCCTTTTAAAGGGTGCAGGATTGCACCTTTAACAAAGGTGCAGGATTTAACCCCTAAAGGTGCATACTTGCACCATTTTTTCTTAGTGTGTACAAGAACAATTTCAGTCAGCAAACAGAAGACAAAACAGCACTGAATCTGCGTTTATTTGTGTAGTAATGGTATTCTCTGTAAATTTAACAGTGCACGTAGTGTCATTTTAGTTCTTTGTGGACTTGAGTTCCGCCTTCGACATGATAGATCATGGAATTCTTACTGAGAGGCCGGCTCTCCTCAGTATTTGGCATGTACGTGACTCCGCGCTGCAGTGGTTTCGGTCGTACCTGACAGCCGGACTTGCCGAGTTTGCGTAAAAAGCAAGACTCGGCTATCCATATTTTGAACTACGGAATTCCTCAAGGGTTCAATTATTGGGTCACTTCTTGTTACCCTTCACATGGAAGAATTCTCAGTCGTTAGCGTCTTAGTTATCACCTACACTGTTGCTCATAAAGTTAAAGACCCACTGCACTACTTGTAGCTACTTGCGCCCTCTATATAACAAACAATGCTTAATCGGTGACCATTGGTCCCCCATGATCCTCTTTTGTTATGTTAACTGAGAGCTGAGTTGATGAGATAACCACCTGTCCAGTGACCTTGTAGGGCGGTCTAATCCCTCCTGTAAACTATGGCAGATAAGCTTTAAAATAATTTTGCTGTTACCTCTCTTCATGTAATAATTGTGACAACGTTGATATCTTCCCAGAATTGTATTGATCATCTCTATGACTCTTTTAATTGATCAATACAATTCTAAGAAGATATACACTTTATTTACCAACAATAAATCCCTTTGTTACACTCATTTCATGAAAATAGATAATTAAATATCATTCCAACTTTATAGGCAACAGTGTATATGCTGATGATACACAACAATATCGCAGTTTTAACCCGAGATGTCAAGCGAATTTCTTATAAGCAATGGATTCCCTTGAAGAATTTGTTTTCGAGATTTGTATCTGGATAGGACATACATGTAGCAAGTTGAAACTATTATTTTTCCGTATAATATATATGTATTTAAAGACAAATATGAACATCAACAAATAATTAGCAATTCAAAAAGAATATGGCTGGATTGCTTTATTCTCAGAAAAGAACTAGTATATTAATGGCTCTTTTCTTCCGTGAGGTGCCTTTAGGTCGACAATTTGAAAAGCGGGTACCTTGTGTTTGTTTCTTTGAGAGTGTGGTTTCAAAATAAGGATACGAGCCGGTAGCCCCCCCCCCCCCTCTACCCCCGCCCATCATTTTTTTAGCAATGTTTAACTTTATCCTGGTAGAGGAAGGAATAGGAATTTATTCAGGGTTCTTCCTTTCATAAGGCATTTCTGTAATTACTCCTTATTGGTAATCAATCAACTCTTTTTTTATTTCATTATTCGCCATTGCAAGGTGAGAAGTACATAATGTGGTTGATTCACGAGCAATGTATTCCGAGAAGTTGCTAATACTAATAGAAACCAGTGGGTGTTTCACAAAGACTGTCTAAGATCGACTTTTAGTTAGACTTAGGCCATTCATGCCATTAGTTGCTCTCACCATTTTGATCTTTAGATAGTTTTTTTTTTCCTTCAATAATGAATTATCAAAAAATGTAAAATTCTGTAGATATGTGACCATGATTTGTACGTCCCTCGAGAGACCAATGCCAGTTAATGGTGAGAGCAAATAGTGGCATGAACGGCCTGCCATAGTTAAGTCCAACTTAAAGTCGATCTTAGTCTTTGTGAAACACCCCCATGGATACTAATAAAATGAGATGCCTCGGTACTAAAAGATCTTTACGGATAATAAGGGAGTTTACAGATAGCACATGGTACAAATGACCCTAAATATCCACAGATCTTTTACACATGGAGAAGTTCCACTTTGAGCATCTTAGAATAATAACTGCCAAAGTCCCAGATGTGTTTCATGATTACCTTTTGTTTGCCCTCTTGAAAAGAATACTCCCACCTGCGTATCTTAGAATGTACCGTTGGTGCATAAATGAATAATGTTACATAACTTTCATGAGCGCATATCCAGTATTCATCTCTGGTGGGTTTTACCTTTTTGGTACAAATGACCTTTATCTGCCCATGCGCAGATTGTATCTATGAACTGGCTTATTGATGTGGGATGGTTAAAGGACGCAGGGATTTACACAGTGAAAATCTCACAACTCGTGAAAAGGCCAAAATGTTCTTAAAAAAATCATAACTGAAAATGTTTCCAACAGTATGGTGACAAAATATTCATTATTAGCGAAATTACAGCAATTTTTCCTTTCAGAATTAGAATTTTGCAACTGACAGTGTTTTATTCACCTCATTTGTTGCATACACAATGAGGGCTTCGATTTTAACTCAAAGAGAGAAAACTAGGGTCTATTGATCTGAGAATTTGCACATACTTCCATAGACTCATCTTGCTGCGCTAAAGATAAATTTCGAGATAAGTTTTTGAGGGCTTGCAGATCTCAAATAGGGGCTTTAAAGGTATTATATCCCATTTGCAGGCCAACAAAAATGAAAAGGTTAAATTCCAACGGCATTTGAAAGACAATACTAATTTAGAACTTCCCTACAAAAAAGGGGGCTTGAAAATGTCTTTAAGTGACACAATAATGAATCGACTTAGGAGTAATAGTAATAGAAGTAATAGTCTGATTTGTCAGACCATTGTACCGAATGGTCGTATGCTGTGCAAAGATTCAATCAGTTTAATTTTGGCCATTACAAGAAGTGGGTTATTGATGTAAAGAAATGCTCATGTACCCTTTACAGCTCATTTTATGTATGTTATTACCAAAGATGAAAAAAGCCAGTCAGTCACTCAATAGTGTCTAACAGTGAAGCCTAGCAAGTAAACAGGTTTCCTTGCATAATTTGAATATTAGGACACTGCTAACGATGAAATTTCACAGATAGGACATACATAACATCTTTATAATTCTTGCAAAGTCCTACAGAATTTGATGTTGGCTGCAAAAGGGACATAGTATCTTTAAAGTTTAAAGGGACTTGGTAACATTGTTTACATAGGATAAAATGGTGATAAGGTAGTGACTTTAATGCTAGATGTACAATCAAAGATAATCTACAAATTTGAGTGAAAACAAACCATTATTAATGATAACAAATGGGAAAAACTGATCTGCTCGACCCCTTAATTCTCCCAACTATATCATTACAATTTAATTACATTTTAGGTGAATGTTAATCTTCACAAAGCAATGAATTGGCTCTATGTACCATTCCTGACATTTAGGTGTTAAAAGATTTTTTTTAAGCACTTTGTTTGGCTTATTTTCATGGAAAATTACGCACTTTTTCATCAACCTTCAACGATGTTACCGAGTTACTTTAAGCTTCAACACCATATCGAGAAAATTAACTTTCACTTCAATTATTGTACTATACGGTGTAAAGCCTACGTGGCTAATTAAACGAGCAGTAATCAAGGCCATTAAATCAACAAAAGGGTTTCACTTTCGAATGATGATTAGGGGCGTAGACTTTTTTGAGACGGATATGTATAAGCACACAATGGTGGCTAGTTAAATGTAATTATACAAATTATTTGAATTTATTTAAACACCGTTTTACTCATGGGGTTTTATTATAAGCATGGGTAGAAACGGTATTACAAAAGGGGGGCGACCTTTTAAAACTTTGGCCCTCTTCATGCTCTACATAGGTATAGGAGGAGGGGGATTCCCAAGGACCGGAAAAGGGGGAGCCAGTCCACCCACCTCCCCGCCCCCTTCTCCTCCTCGAAAATAACGTCTGTTTTGATTCTTTACAAAAATTCTTTATTATTATTTATTTATTTATTCCCCCATAGTTCTGTCAATTAACATTAAACTTTAAAGGGAGGAGATTCCAAATGAAAGGAAGTCCCCTCCCCCCCCCCCAAAAAAAAGCACACTCACACACATCCTCCAGTCTCCCACCCCCTCTCTCTCTCTCTCTCTCTCTATCTCTCTCTCTTTGTCTCTCTTTCTCTCTCTCTCTCTCTCTCTCTCTTCTTTCTCTCTCTCTCTCTCTCTCTCTCTCTCTTTCTCATTTTCTACTTCCTCTTCTTCTTTTCAAACCTCTGGCTGTACCCCCAAAGTCAGCTCCGGCACCCGTCTCTAACTCGTACAGAATTCCAATGGTGATGTCACCCTTTCGAGGGGACTCAAGCGTGCCACCTCTGCCGAACACGACATTGTTTGCGCTGGCAACAACAAAAGCCGGAGTTTCATCTCGTGGCCTTGGTGTTTGAAAGAAAAAACAGAAAATACAAATCAAACAATTATAGTACCGGTACTCGTCGCGAGTGCAGTTCCAGATTCATTTTTTACCGTCCGTGACATGTTGTTCGTGAGCCTGCGCTGCCGCCTGGAACGGAGGCCGGGAACTCTCACGCAGAGTCTTATCACTATTTTGGAATAAGGACTAGCTGTTAACGCCAGGACTTGGTCTTCTCTCCTGTTCCGTTCTCAGGTAGGCCTATCAATTTCTTGATCAGATTTTGATTGTATCATTAATCTCAATTATACACAGTTTTATTGTATAGAGTATACACCGGTGTGTGCATGCGTTGTGTTAAAGCACTTGTACTTAATAACAATGTGTGTGTACGGTGTCGTGTGGGGCGACGTTACCCCCTGCGAAGTCACCATGTTAACATGCAGCGTGTCAATGTATTCTATTCTAGTCTAACATTATCATGATTATAATCAATACCGCGTACTTAGTCGTGCTGGTGTATGCTTTCTTTCTTTCTTTTTTCTTTTTATCGTCCACGGTTGGTTACAGTAAACAAGGCCAGAGATTAAACGATTCTCTCAAAACATTAATACATACATGAGACGTGAAACCGAAAGTTATGTATTTCCAACTAAAATTGTTGCTTCAAAGTTCAAATAGATTGTGCTATTGGTTATATCAGAAAGAGAAAGCCGAGAGTCGATCAAAGTGATCTAAACCTTTTTCCTCTTCCCAGCACAGTTAACTTCAAGTGGTGATAATAATAATGATAAAAATACTAATATTAATGATAATATCAATTCTAGTTGTAATGACATTAATAATAATACAAATAATATGATAAATATAAAAATACAATTTTGTAGGGGAACCTACAGTACTCTGATCTGATACGTTATTGCGGTTTGCACTAATATGTACTTGTTTTCTTGCATGTTTTGTTTATCGACGTTAAGTAATGTTACTTCTACCTCTTCTACTACTGATCTATTTTTCGTCTGTTTTGAGCAAATCTTGCCGCAATCCGTCATTTTCACAGTAATGGTTGGCATGATTGTGCGTGACTGTGCGTTTCCTCAATGAGCTTGATAAACGGAAGTCAACAATGCCGACATTGTGAAACCAGCACACTCCAACCCCCCCCCCCCCCCCCCCCCGTCGTTCGTATAAAGATCTAGAAAAAAAAAAGAAGGTGTGCGTATATAAATTCACTAGATTGCGTCACGGAAAACGAATATTCACCCTACCCCTTCCCCTTCAACAGCGTTTGGGCCAATATTCACCCCTATACCTAATCATTTTGTAACCCTAACCCAGTCCATTGATAATGATAATAGAAGTAGTAATGATATTGATAACAATACTAATATATTGCTCGATGGAATGGAATACGCAGCAAACAATACACGTTCACACCAAGTCCCGTTGAGGTCTGCGATGCTAATACGCGCTTAATATAATTATCATAACTAAGAAAAAAATAGTACTAAAATAAAAGTAAAGTGTCAAAGTTGCAAATGTATCGAAGGCCAAAGAAAATGCAAAGGGGTCGCCGGGAATCACCATGATAGGAACAAAAACGTTGGTAACCTGTTTGTTCGTTTCCAGTATGAAGAATATTTGTTAATGCACCCAACCACTGTTCCCGGAAGTCCACGGACAATGTTCGGCTGTAATGTATGTTCCCTTCAAAAATGTTGTTTCATTCAGATGGGATACGCGAAAGACCGGCATCCACTGCCTGTGACATTAATGCTGTATTTAAAACGGAAAATAGAGACGAATCATCAGGTGTTGAATGAATACTAGGTAGTATCGGCCGTCATTGTTGGTCAAACGGTTTTTGAGCGTCAAGTGACGCCTGGCTGAAACGCTCCCCAGGGAGTGGAGATTATGCACATAGTGTGTGCGGGCAAGTATTCTATCCAATGACCGGGGTAATATATATCTGTAAAGCGCTTAGAGACACCGTAGGTGTATTAAGCGCTTTATAAAAGCGGGATATTATTATTCTATTGAGGATCCTCTTCTTCAAGGCAATCTCCTTTTTTCTGACGATTTCTAGTTTTTAGCATATTTGAATTTGATTAAAATGTATTGATTCATCTGTCATTATAACAGAACTTTTTCTTCTTTTGGTTAAAGAATAACAAAGGACATGTCACAAAAGAATTATACATAAGAATGAATGGTACAATATACTATAGGCCTCCATTATGTGAGGCTAAATTCACTGAGGCAAATAGAAATGACAGTACATGCTATCTTCCGCTGCAGCATGTTTAATATCAAGACTTCTGTAATGTTCTATCCAAACTTTACAGAGAAAACGCATGTGCGCCCATGTTACAAATTAGGAGCCATTCGTCTTAGTGTGCTCAAGCAAACCCGACAGAAATTCACCAAGATGTTCCTCTCAATAAGCTTCTTGTAGATTAAATAGGAACAAGTCAAGAAATAGTGACCGTGATCATAAATAAGATCTGGCTATTTGTGTCGGTTGATCAGTAGACTTCAACAATTATCACGGTCTGTAAACAAATGAGATAAAAGAAGATACCCTTAATTAAGATCAAACTATAACATAATCCTCTAATGAGCTAGAGAAGGTTTCGTTACTCCATGAACATATTATGGAGTAAGGTTCAAAAGTGCCATGGTAAGTCAATTAACGCCCGAAATATAGTCATATTCTCAAATTGAGTAAAGTAATTTATTTCGGGCTACCTCTGCCCACCCTAACCCAACCCGGTGAAACAAACCAAGGCCCTCGAAACGACGAAAGCTTCACTCAAAATATATAGATCATAGTAACTTGAGAGATTTTGCCCCTCCTGAGTAAGATTTCTGGATATGCCACTGTTCGAATTAGACAAATGATTCTCGACAATCGATGTAAGTCATTAATCATTGGAGCAGTTCAATGACTTTACCGAAGTTACTCAGAAGTGAAACGAAAATCATCGAGACTGTAAGCAATTGTTAAAAAAGGTTTGAAAAATGGGTATTTGCAAAATTCCCAGGGCTATAATTTTTTTTGGTCACATATGACCGACTTTTATATGTCGTCTGTTCAATGTGTGCACCAGGATGCGACAGTTAGTTTCCTAACTTCCTGTTTTGAAGTAAAATATGAATGTCTGCAAGTTGTATAAGTCATTGTATCTGTATTTAAAAAAGGTGAGTGGGGGGGGGGGGGGGGTTCCATCCCCCCGAGTGATATAAGCGTAGTAAGCATTTCATGAAAACCTTTCATCGTGTCGCGTTTGACTCTGAGCGAATGAATAACTTTACTAAACAGTACCACTGCGAGAACTCAATTTTGAATATGTTAAAGAAACGTGAGAGGGCACTGTCATCTTTGAAATTCTTTCTCGTTCATTTTTCTCTTTTCTCTTCCTTAAATAGTTTTATCTCATAACGTGGGGCGGTGGTGGAGAATGATGCCCCTTCTATCTATCTCTGCCTCTCTCTATATATATCTCTTTCACTCTCTCTCTCTCTCTCTCTCTCTCTATCTCTCTCTATCGATCTATCTATCCATCATTAATGATAGTTTTGCATCCATCAATTATTCTCGAGCTTTCAGTTGTTGTTATTGTTGTTGCTGCCCTTGTTATTACGCGACTCGGCTTTTCCACCCCGACTCTCTCCGAAAGAGCGCCACATTAATAATGGCGGATCCAAGATTCTCTACCCGTGGATGGGGGAACATGCTGACGATTCTCCGACAAGCAAAAACACAAAAGGTGGAGGTCGATCAGTACACCTATAGCTGCCTTTATGGGTCTAAGATTTTCGCTTTTAGGGAACAATAGGATATGCATTTCTTATTTGAAGTTGATGTGTACTTTTTATTAAACATAAAGTGCATTACACATTATAATGCGAAGGGTAAGTCAGAATAGGATTATGAGGAAGTGGGTGGGGGAGCACGGTTCTACACGCCCCCCCCCCCCCCCCCTCTATCCGCTATTGGGCTTATTGCAACCTTTGCCTTATCATTGGCCTGATACATCCAATTCGTATAGTTTCTAGTAGACACTTAGTAGCTTCATGATCGAAAGTAGCTTCTTTACCCCCAACAGATAAAATTATCTTTGACGCAATATTCTAACTGTATAATCTTGTGTCATAGCACCTTCTTATATTCGAACAACGACAGGTGAAAATCCACGTATTGATCATGGTATCAACTATAATATTGCATGGTTTACAAAATAGGAAAACACGTGGTTCTGGTGATAAAAATCACGGTAGACTATTATGTGTATCACCAGGAAATATGGATTTCTCAGTCATCTTTCGAAACGCAGCAGAGTGAGAAATAATCTGCCATTGATCGGTATAATATTTCTGTTACGGATTCTCGCATTTTGTCAATCTATACAAGTCATTGTACAATAGAGAAAGGGGATGGGGAGAACAGGGAGGTGGGGAGAAGGAGGAAGAGGGGGAGACGAGGAAAGAGAAAGAAAGAGAAAGAGAGAGAGAGGGGGCGATATGGAACTAAAGTGCAATGCATCGATGTGAGCACTAGGACATGTACGGATGCTTGGACATATCTAAAGCCACATCAATAGATCATACACATGCCATTACAGTGAATGTAATGGTATCTGAAATTGAATTATGTACCTCTTGATGTCCAGAGTAGATGGAGTAAGAGCGGGAGGAGAGACATGATGTACATGTTTTCGAAGGGCCCCAAGTGGTGTACTCGTCTCTACAACAAAACCGTCTTGTTTGGGTGTCAGCGAAAAAGAAACGGCATGCATGCATGGTTTCGTTCATTAATATGGCTTCATCTGTCGCGTATGAATTATGAAATATAGACGTCCTACACGTAGATTGATTATCAAATTATGATGGTTCTTTTTCAAAATTTCTTGAGAAAAAGCACTAATGTTTTATATATTTCATAAGTTTTTAAAAAATGAGAGAAATTGAGGGGCTCTATTTCCGCTCATCTCGAGTCTGGCAGCCTAAAGACATGTCTGCGTACAAAGTGCTTCGATTAAATTGAATTTTAACTCAAAATGCAATACCAGATTGAATTCAATTATTATTCCTCGCAAAAGCTACCACCGAAGCACTACTCATAAAGGTAGCCCTCTTAACCTTTTCATGATCTTTCTTCGCCCGAATGGAAGTATTTTCTTTCCCGATGGGAGGCATGTAATGCAGACTGGAAATGTTTTGAAAGGAAGAGCGAGGCCTGGCTGGAGATCCTT